AACATAAATTAGTGAGAGATTAGCCTAGGGTATGTGTTTTCTTATAGCTGCTGTTTTCTTTCTCTCCAGCACCATCTCCATCAGATACATGATGCTTGGGAGTGTTTTACTGTTTTTGGTCGATATGATTCTGTAATTAGGCCTGTCATAATTGTCAGCACCAGGCCCACTGGGCTCTTAATCTGGCCCTGGCTATGATCTAAGATAATCTATGTAATATTGTAACATATAAAACCTAAGCTAACTAACTGGTTGAATGATACCCATAATTAATTAACTAACATGCAGCATGTAGCTCTACAATGTGAGATGAAGCCGAGTAGCAGACACTAATTGATATAATGAGGCCGAATGGACTATGCCGCATATAAGTTAAATGGCCAAATACGGCCTGCATAGTAAACAAAGGGCGAATAGGATCGAAATAACCTTGCAAATTATATAAAATACTATAAACCCTTTATAGGTCACACAAGCCCCTCCCACAACTCCAGGCAAAGCCTTAACATATACACTGAACAGAATTATAAACGCAACACTTTTGCAACACTTTTGTTTTTGCCCCCATTTTTCAAGACTTTTTCTATACACAAAAGGCCCATTTCTCTCAAATATCGTTCACAAATCTGTCTAAACCTGTGTCATGCGGTAACACTTCCGGGTTCGGCACTCTGCTGTGCGGAGCCGGACCCCGCCCCCCTCTGACGCGGCTCTAACGGTATTTAGGGAGACCGCGCCAAAGAGAGGGTGTTGGGTGATACTGGGAGCTACTTCCGCCAGACTTACCTCTCCACAGTCTCTGGCATTGTGGGTCCTACTTCTGAATATGCACGCCGGCTCCTGGGACACGCCGGCTCTACAAACTCTGAAGACGTCCTAGCCTTGTGGACTAAGACAAGTATGCTTCATGTCATAGAGGATTACTGGAGAACGGAAACTCACTTACTTAACAAGTGGACCATAGCCCTAAACTATTGGAGGACAACTCATATTAACCTTAAGTATATCTTTCAGCTATTTGTCTACAATATCATTTAATAATGAACTAATGCTTGCTTACTCAAATCTTTATTGCTTCAAGCTACTAATTATATGGAGGACAACTCCCATCATGCTTATTCACTCTGAACTGTTTCTTGCTTTGCAAATATACTCAGTGCTTCAAGCTACTAATTGTATGGAGGACAACTCCCATCATGCTTATTAACTATGAACTTTTCCTGCTTTGCAAATATTCTCAGCTACTTGCTTAAAGTTACTATTGAAGATTATTCTCATTAACCTAAAGAATGTTACTTAATGCATCTCTGAGGAAATACTTATTAATGAACTTTGTGTTGTTGATTACTTGCACTTCTTCTTATTGGATTATTGCCTAAATGCTATTCATTTAAGTTTAACACTTATTAAAACTTTGTTTGAATCAAGTTCCCAGCAATTCTCTCTTTTCTTAAAGCTACAGTATTGATACTTTAAAGATTCTTTGTTTCTTCACTATTGTAATTAGGGAGTTTAACAAGCTGCAGTTGAGTTCCAATCCAAATCACCCAAGTAGCATAACAACCTGTGTTAGTGAGCACTTCTGCTTTGCCGAGATAATCCATCCACCTCACAGGTGTGGCATATCAAGATGCTGATTAGACAGCATGATTATTGCACAGGTGTGCCTTTGTGAACATAGAAAAAGTATTAGATCGTTGAGTTCATCTCATGAAAAATGGGGGCAAAAACAAAAGTGTTGCATTTATAATTTTGTTCAGTGTATATATGTACATTATAGGGTGCTGCTGGGGCCAAAATACACAATCCAGCACACTTGCTTATTCTCTAAACAATTATTTCAAATCTTACAGATTGTAGTAGTTTTATTTAAAAACAACTCACCTAGGCAAAAAATAATGGGGGTTTAGTTACATTATATGATCATATATTGCATAAGCCTGCCACAACCTTTATATATACATACACAATATATATCCCCCTCCCTGCAGCTTACATTGTGCCATGGAAGTGGGACATTGAAAACCCTGGTTTAGAGGTGAGATACTTTAGTCTGCATGGCTGCAAGGCGCAGACTGAGTATATGCCTCTTGTGAGTCCCAGTACCGTAGTGTTGAAGTGTTGTTATGGTAACCCATGGCTACGCTTTTACAGGCCGGAGCTCATGGGAAGAATATCCTAGGGTGCTCTGGGCCAGTAAGGGAGATCTTGGATCTCATTCCCAGCCATGAATGAACACCATGCAAGGCTGGCACATGAGAAGCTTTTTATTGGACCTCAGAAAGTGAATGGGCCGTGGAAAGGCTTAAAGGACCACTATAGGCACCCAGACCACTTCAGCTTAATGAAGTGGTCTGGGTGCCAGGTCCAGCTAGGGTTAACCCTTTTTCTTTTATAAACATTGCAGTTTCAGAGAAACTGCTATGTTTATGAATGGGTTAAGCCTTCCCCCAAAGCCTCTAGTGGCTGTCTCATTGACAGCCGCTAGAGGCGCTTGCGTGATTCTCACTGTGAAAATCACAGTGAGAGCACGCCAGCGTCCATAGGAAAGCATTGTAAATGCTTTCCTATGCGACCAGCTGAATGCGCGCGCAGCTCTTGCCGCGCGTGCGCATTCAGCTGACGGGGAGGAGAGGAGGAGGATCGGAGGTGGAGCTGGAAAAAGGTAAGTTTTACCCCTTTTCCCCTTTCCAGAGCTCGGCGGGAGGGGGTCCCTGAGGGTGGGGGCACCCTCAGGGCACTATAGTGCCAGGAAACGAGTATGTTTTCCTGGCACTATAGTGGTCCTTTAAGGAAGACTTTGCCAATGCTGGATTCCCAGTATGTTTATTTTTATTTTACAGGTTGTGGCACTAAAAAAAGGGGGTGGAGAAAATAACTAGAGCCAAATATGCCATTATAAGTTATACAAAAGGCATAGCAAGTAAGGGTTGGAGGAACCCCTTTAAATCCAAGGTGTCCTCAGGGCAGAACAATAGAATACACATTACAATCAATCCAGAATGCTCCAAACAGCAGTGTATAATGTTCTAATCCTTTTATTAATTAAATACCTAAATTGCATGCAAATTACACAAAATATTTACCATTGACTCTGGATACCTATTAGGGATTGATGCTCTCTTGTATAAATGTATCTAAATACTCTTGGATAACCTAAGCATACACTTACATAGAAACACTTAAACCATAAATATACAAAAGAAATATCTAATACTGACCAAAATTTACTGGAGATTTTTAAAATACTGCCTTCAGCATTTCAGCGATGTCTCATTATTGCAAAGTCAGTAATAC